AGCACTCTTTTCGTTACTTTGTTCTTCTCATTAAGTTTCAAGACTTGATCTTTGCAGTCGCTAAAATTGTTATTAGTTTTAATTTTCCTTTGCCTGTTCTTTTACTGCTTTAAGAGTGCTTTTCTCAAAATCTACTCAAGTGTGCAAGTCTGTCGAATTTTTTTCGATGGTTAGTAAGAAATGCAGACACCTCAGTTACTAGACCTGGTTGTACTTCTCATACGCGATAGGTGCTGTTTTATTGGCTTGCAAGCTGTTATCGTCGTATCTCTCCCGTGCATTTTTCAACAATATTATGCATATAAGTATACCTTCTGCTCTGCCTTAGGGGGTCGCTTCCCGCATATTCCAGTGATTTTGATAGTGAGGTATATTGCTTCTTATTTGGGGACGACGCTGGGGTTTAAGACGCGAAAAAAGCTGTAAAAGTGCTGGTGGAACAGCTTGAGGTTTAAAGTTGCTTTCTAAAGTAGTAGTTCGTTTTAGGGATTTTTTATTAAATCTAGAGCATTTTATTAAATAAATCTAGAGCAATCTGTAAAGTTAGGGTTTTTTGGTTGAGGTGGCAGCAATCATTAACTGCTTGCGTCTAGCTTCTATTTATTCTTGGTCTAGTAAACTTGAAAGTGAACAAAGGAGTGGACGTGAGTGGGAAAAGGAAGGAGAAGCCCGTGGCCGGATTTTTTTGTTAGGAGACGATGGGCGAAGAAAGTTTGACAGGCACTGGTATATATCATCGATTCTTAGTGTCATTGTTTCTAATTGCACTTTCTCGTGTTTTACGCTTTCAACTCGGAACTGGCATAGTTGTTTACGGGCCTTCAGTTTGCAAAATACTGGTATTGATTGGTTTTCATTTTTAAATGTGTAAGAAGTACGGGTGGATAGCTGTGAAATGTTTCACCAATTTGAAGGCATATATGTTTTGGTTTTGAAGTTATCTATTTTTTCTTTTAACACTTTTATGTTGCTAGAGGAAGGATATTTTTTTGTCGTAGAGGTATTTCTGTATGGTAGAGCCTGAATTTTACAGTAAAGTTTTTAATTTGTTTTGATACAGTCGCACAATGGTCAGTTCTAAAATTAAACAAAAGTGGTATTAGAACCGAGGTGTTATGAAGGACTTTGAGCTGGTCTGATTTTGATAATCCCATTCATTTTCAAAACGAGTTATGTTTCAAGTAATGACTGGTTCTCATAAAGAGGTAAGTTTTAATAAGCAACTGTACTGCACTAAATTTTTTTTTTTTGGTTTTCTTATTAGTTTGGATAGAGTTGTTCGTATATACAACCTAAAGAAAAGGTATTAGGCGACAGGTTGGTATTCATATAATGAAGTGGATATGAATTTTGTTTTCAGAAGAGAAGAGACTTTCGCCACTCCCCAGTGAGTGTAGGGCAGTTCATTTTTCAATTCCGTTACGCTACAGAATGTCAAGTTTGAAGGTTCTGTTGCATTATTTAAGACAGTAACGTGCGTTTCATTACTTGAAGGAGAGGTAGTTAGTTAGTACGCTTGTAGTTCCAGATGGGTTTCCTCGTCACGCAGTGGCTGTACTGTAAATTTTCAGCATCCCAAAAGGTGATCTTTACAGTTTCTAAACTCAACACAGTGTAGCCTCATGTATCATTTAGGTTATTTATTCTTTTGATACTTGTCCAGGAGATGAAAACGCAACTCGTCTGCCATGTAGGTGGGGTTTAGGGAATACATATTGTTCTACTTGAAAAAAGGTTTCAGGCATACAAAAGTCTGGCAGTCCTAAAGCGTATTTTAGGCATGAAATGTATGTAAATTTAGAAGGCTGGAAGCGTAAAGAAGAAAAGTTTCGTTCTAGGTCGCGGGTTGTTATGCAAAGGTGCGAAATTTAAGTCTGTCTACTAGTAGCGGAGGGGACGATAGCTAGTTTTCGAGAAAGTATAGCCACAGAGTGCCGTTTGTAGACCTAGAAGATTGCGAATTAAAAAAAAAGGAATGGAACTTTTAATTGACGATTGCTGCGGTACTTTCCAGTTTCCAAATTTCCAAACTGCTGAAAATTTCGTCAAAAACGAATGGATCCCTGTTGAAACAGTTTCAGCTTTTCAGAAATGAAGCTCATTGCGAATGTGGCAAGGGGGCGATATTCATTTTATCAAGTTGGACATTCCGGAAAGATTTTAGTAATTAGAAAGCTCTGCGATCGAATCGCCCGAATTGACTAGTTTGATTTCGGGCTGTGGTTCTATTTTTAAGTTAAATGTCTTCTGCGCTGATTTATGTATTTCTAGAGGAGTTTTTGTTATTTTATTCTGCAGTGCAATTAATGCAAGATACTTCCGAATAATCTGGAAAAGACTAAAGCCGGCACAGAGGGAAGACATTTGTTTGAAAATTTGAACCTTGGTCTGTATTGTAACTAAAACAGCTGAGTAGCCCGTTCCTGTAAACATAGACTGCTTTTGGAATGAGTGTCGTGGTTGAGTGAAAAACTGTTGAGAACTGTAGTGGGTTTTTACAAGAAATATGGACTGCCTAAAAAAATTTAAAATATGTTTCCAAAAAAAAATTATTTTTAGTGTGATTAGTGCACTTCATTTGGTAGTTCTAAGAAATTCCTAATGATTATAAGGTTTTTCCGGGGTTTGTGTATTGGTAACGTGGAAGAAACCGTGCCGGAATGATGTTCGCACTAAGCTTCATGCTTGAAGAGTCTGAGCTGTTTCAGCGGAGGTTTTTTATTTTTTTTATTTTTATTTTTTTTTTGGTTAGGATTGTCAAGGAAAGTTCAGAAATAAAAAGTTTTATAGCAAACGCGGCCTCGATATATTGTCTCTTCAGTTTTATTTCTAGAAGACGCTATGTTCTTTTCAGTAGTGAATGTACTCTAGGTTTCAGGATAGCACTCAGGCTTTTGACATTTGCCTTTCCAGTTAACTCTCTTGACTAAGCTCAAAAGCACTTGCTTTTCGCTTTTTGTAGCTAACCCCATCAAATCCGTTCTCTTTCCCGCTTACTAAAATAAAAAATCAAAGTAACAAACCTGCGCGTTGCTGCACGACAGATTGCTTTTAGAGATTTAATTCAGGGCTTTATTAAATTTTAATTTTTTTGTAGGTGGACTTTTACACTTTTTTGAGATGAGTAAATAGGTCCTGGCGCATTTTCAAAATTTTTATGTACTGCGCACAAATAAAAATTATTAGTGTGTAATTCTTACACCCTGTCTGCTTCAAAACTTATCACTTTTATGCTCGTGATGGTTAAAAATACGATATTGCTTTTACCATGCTTTAGTCATTTTTGTATTGTTTGGCTTATTCGTATGAGCAAAATTGAAGCGGAGCCAGAACAAGGGCTTATTGTTGGCAGTTTGCTGATCTGTTTTTAACTCGCTTTCTGAGGTAGTTGTCTAGTCGTTCAAACGCAGTGTAAAAATCAAAAATTGCCTACTAGTTTTTTTGCATTAAGTAGGTTTTTCTCACAAGTGTCAAATAATGCTGAAATCTGGAATTAAAGGTAACTTCTGGTTTTAACTTTAGTGTTATCATTGATCATGGGGCATGTTTTCCTTTAATGGATGTATCATGTACTCGGAACTGTAGCTTTTTTTGCCTTTTGGTTTGCTTATGTCCTTCAAGAAGTGGTGCAAAGATGGAGAAGGTTTGAAAATTTTGCAAGTAAGAATGTGCTGTTGCGGTGTTGTGTGCACCATGCTTGTTGTCTTTGCTATGTTTTTGGATCTTTAGGGCCTCAAATTTAAAAATTTCCAGCAGTTTTTGGAGGCTTTTTATACTTGTGTTTTCAGAATAATGGGGAACTTCAACTGGTTTTGCAGTTTCTCGTTTGGGAGTTTTTCGTATCATTAGTACTGCTAATATTAACTTACAAGGTGTTCTAAAAACACCTCTAACTTCTATCGTTATTTAAGATGGATGCATCCGAAGTTTGCAAAGAGCATTAAATATCTGCAGATTTGCGTTTGACTTCGAGTCTGCGGCTTGCAGGAAATTTGAGTCTTTAGTGTTCATGGTGAGACTTGGTGGATTGCGTTATTTGGTAAGGAAAGAAGTGGGCTAAGTTACTAATAGGTTAGTAGTGGTCTCAGAAAGAATTAAGTAGTGGTCTGCTCATTTCAAGTAGTTTTGGGGGCTGCAGAAAATCCTTGTTTTTTCAACCCCCAAGATAGTTTCCTAACAGCGTCATTTAAAAGCACCGTGTAGAAAATTGATAAGATGATTAGTATTTGCTAAATGAAGTTTTGAAACCTGAGGATTCTTGTTCCTTCCCTCACTCGAATGAAATGTCTCCCTGAAATCATGGAGTTACTTTTACCGCTTTTTGCAATAATATTGTATCAGGACAACTGGAATTCATTAGATGCTGATGTTTCCATGCTTACTCTTACAATATGCTTTTTGTGTTTTAAAAGCGTTTGTTTTGTTTAGACATCCAAGCTTCACTGCGTTTTTTTATAGTAATACCCCATATTTCTGACGAGTCTTCCAGTTGATTCTTGATTCTAGAAAAGTAAATGAGGTTTTAAAAACGCGTGGTTGTTGAAAAAGCTTATTCAGTAGTTTTTCTTTTGAGATATTGTACCCGGACGAGGTAAGAGTAAAGAGAAAAAACTGATTGGGAAAGGCTTCGAAACAGTAGTTCATCGGAGTTTACAGTGCAAAAAAAGCTCACACGCCTCATTTTTCAGTGCTAAAATACATTAGTTTTTTTTAATATATATTTTATAGCGCTGTAATTTTGTTTCAATGATTATGCTAAATTTTTTATCCTCTTTTTACAGAGTTCTCGTCCCAAAAGAAGATTTGAGATTTTTTGGTACACGCATACCACTTGGCAGAGGTGTTCAGCCCAAAAAATTGGTGTGAAGAATTTTTAAAAAGAACTGAGACACAAAATCACAACTAGTATAAACTTAAACATAACGAAAATGAACTGGAACAGTGGTGAACAGTATTCTGTTTTCTTTTCTTGTTTTCTTTTATAGGGCGTAAGGGAAAAATTTTGAGGGATCATTTAATTATTACTCCATTTCGATAAACGTTCGTCTTATCTTCATACGAGTCGTACAGTAACTATGAGAAATTTGCTGGCTGTTGAATCTGATTTCAGTAGGCGAAATGAATATTACGTGTAGGAGAAAAGCTAACGTCGTGGTAGTTCAAAGGAAGCGTCAGATTGGTGGACTGAATTCTTGAGAATCTGTGAAGCGTTGCATAATGCTGAAGCGTTCCTGTACAAAATGTACTAGTTCATTCTGCTGCATCTTATTTATTGCGCTATATAGGAAACTAAGTCTTCAAAAAAATGCTTTAGTACTGATCTCAGCAATATATAAATATATTGTATGGTTAAGAAGTCTGCTGTTTCCAAAGAGCTCTTGCTTTTTTCATTTAGAGAAGTGTAGGACTACTTTCCCTTTTTTGAACATCGCTGCTTGGCCCTTTTGTCAACTGGTCGGTAGTGAAGAACGCAAAACTATCGAAGCTTTGTTATTTTTGTGAAAGTTCAGAGTTATAAGAGATAATGATGAGATTGTTTAAACACTTCAGAGAGTAGATTTGAAATTTTTTTACACTTCTTCGCTTTCAGAATTTTGAAACTGAAAGGACATTCACTTATATTTTTGTTACATTAAACAAATACGGGATAGGTGGTGCTTTTAATTTTTCTATTTTTTCTGTTTGAGATACATCAATTGCAAAAATTTTGAATATAGGGTAATCTTTTTATTGACTTAAACGATAAGTGTTCAGTTCTAAATTACACGTACTTCATCTACGAACTTGGTTATTTGCAGTTTCACTTTTGTTTTTAGAAAAAGCGTTGGACGGTAATCAGTGGATCTATGATATGACAGGTACCTTGCAACATTGTGTGGCTATTTTGAAACTTTGCCATGCGACAACCGAGAAGCTATCTGCAGAGCCCTTAAGTTCTGTTGGTGCTCCTTTGAACACTGCTATTCTTATGGCGACCAATCGTATAATGCCGAACTTCAACCAGTTGATACAAACTATGGAAGCCAATCGGGTTGGTTTTTATATATTCTAATTTTATGTCGGAACTTCAATGCAAGATTTTTTTTCAATATTTTTCTAGTTTTACATTTTTTAAAGATGGATGGGCCACATTTTAGTTGTTCATTGTGGGAATTTTATTTTTTTATTGGTTGATTAATATTATTCCATAAGCAGAGTTTTTGAGTGTTTTCTTTTGGTAGACTGCAATTTTTTGCGGTTGATTTTACAAATTTTGATATCCAGAACATTGGTACACATGCATTGCATCTTCTGAGTAGGCCGAGTAACAACTGCACACACTTAGGGTGTTTGTTAACAAGACTGTCAAAGCGGATGAACTGATTGTTCGAGAGTGGCTCGGACTACGCTGTGAATATTAGGGTAGATGACATGGAAGTTTCAAATTATACTGATATATAGGGACAGTAATACTACATTTAAAAAAAAATCTGTTTCGTAAAACTAGGGTTTTGAGTCATTCTTTAAAACTGTTAATTTTTTTGAGATTTTTATACTGACATTACTTAGCTCATATGGTGAAATTGCAAAGCTTTTCAAGTGTTACTTTTACTTTTTACTGTAGTTAAAATGTGTTTTGACGGGAGAAGTTCTTCGAATCTTTGGTTTCTTCTCCACTTTTTCTGATCGAGAACTGATTGGGTATTTAGACAAAAATGTCACTCTTTTGCATAAAGTACCTTAGTAAAATAAGGTTTACGGAAGTAGAAATGTTAATTTATCGACCGTCGCATCATAAATCTTTTCACTTTTTGTTTATTGCTGATGTGCAGGTAAAAAATTCTTTTTTTCTATTAAATTTCTTGCGCAGGAAAGTTATGCTTAGTTACTTTTCTTCTGAGGCTCTTCTTTGAAACAACTGTTAAAAAAACAAAAACCAAGAGTTTGTTCTGAGCGTTTTGACTAGATTCAGAAGCAAAGTCGCATAAAAAGGTGTCACAAGTATATTTGAGGAGGTAATTGTAGGGACATTTAAATTGTCGGTTTTAACAGCAGCTTAGGTTAAAATATAAAAAAAAAAGCTGCGAATGACAGAAGGGTGCGTAAAAAACAAGAGCAATAACTTCCCTAAAAACATGCAGGGGCTTCCCAATCACACTGTTTTTACTAATCTTACGGCCTGTAATTGACAACTGAAACCATTTTCACTATCATTTCACTTGATTATCTGCGCTACATTTCGCAACACATTTATCATTTGGACAGCCTACTTATTTGTTTCTAAAATTATGCTCGCGGAGGCAAAAATTCTTTGAATAAACGAAGGTATTACTCTGTCGGTTTAAGGGTGTTTTGCTTTTGCACTTCAAATCTGGACAAGTCATTTCCTTCAATTTTGTCATTTGGTAGATTCTAACCTTAGCTTTACGTATTATGAAGAATTTTTTCTGCAAATGGGAGTAACGTCGATTTGTAGGCTTAACGTGCCCACGTTTTGGAATCATTCTTTCAAATGTTAGTTAATTCTAGCGGAATGTGATTCCGAATTTTAAGGAGATATTAGTTTGGTGCTCCTGCAAAACACCATTAGCTATCCGAAAAAAAGAATTTAAAATGTTATAAAGGACAAAAGTTGTTTCAGTTTTAAGAAGAACTGCTGGATTTTGTACTGTATGAAAATTGGAATTTGATCATTTGACTTCGATGAATGCACACTATGAGACGAAGGGTAAAGCAGGTTTTGAAACTGCTTTTCCGACCCCAAAAACGGCGCAGAAAAGTGATATTCATGGGTTGGGAGGACTGTGTAGCGAAATGTTCCTCATTATTTTTGATTTTTTTTTAAAGTTTTTTTGTGAAACTATAGAGCTTTATGGGCACTGGGTTTGTTCTACTGCAATATTGAATCCTTTTGCGGTCAAACAGGCCTTTTTTTCACTTTTCTTAGTTTTCGTAATGAGCGTTTTCAAGGAAAACAAAGTTGCTGAAGAATCTCATCTCTTCTCAGAGTAAACTTTTTTGAGGCTACTGCTCAATTCCTGTGCATTTCGCGCGATTGTTGCCGACACTAGGTGGACGGTTTTTTTGCAAAAAGTGGTTGGTAGGGAATTCGTGTTTAAGAGTATGTAGAGGTATGAATTATTTTTATTAATATGCTGACGTTTGAATAAAACAACCGCAATCAATTAAAAGTTGTGAGAAGCAAAAAACTCAAGACAAACAGGTGGACTTAACCACGAAGCACTTCACAGTTGAAAAGCAGGAGGAAAAACAATATGGTACTAGTACAAATACACAAAAAGTATGATCATTTGAGAAAAAATGACAGGACAGACATACAAAATTTAAGTCGAGAGGATAAAGAGGCAGTACTGGTTAGATTTTGACTTTTAAATAGCGATTTGGGAATGTTTTATTTACAGGGGCACTCTGCTTACATTTAAATCCGAGTTCAGTTTTAAAAGTTAAAATTGCTTCTTTTTTAGTGGCATAAAAAATATAAAGATAGAAGTAAAGACTGAGGTTGTTGCGAACGGCTAAATTTAGGAATCTTTTGTTTTGGTTATAGACGTAGTGTGTGCGTGAAAAAAAAAGAGGCTTATGGATAGAGAAAAGGATTTATGTTGTTTTCTTGAGGCGTGGGAAGGCCTTCTATTATAACTTATTTTGGCAGAGCAGTTAAATTTGGACTTTAGACCTCTTTTCTAAAATATTTTGGCTTTTTTGAATTGAGATTCTGGAACAGGATTAAAACTAATTTTTTTCAGAAGGGAAATGTTTGCATTTTTTCAGTCCTTTTTTCTACTCGTTTACTCTTGTTTATTTCTAAGGGACGATTGTCTTTATCGGTAAATGAGCTAACTTGATAGATTTTCTTTGTTTATTGGGACTGTGTCAAATGAATCAAGAAGAAACCAGAAGGAGAGTCAGCTTCTGATATAGTAAGGCTTTCATGGCCCAGGAAGGGACTGAATTCTACAACCAAGAGGCCTTTGCAGTTTATTTATTTAACAGTTAACAAATTTTATAAATTATTACTGTGATAGATTTTTGGCGGAGTTTTCGAGATTGCGAGAGGACAAGTGCAGTATCCTGAATAATTGGTAATATTGCAAGAGCTTGGATAAGGAGCTCAAAATTGGTTCCATTTCAGAGGAAGGTTTGGAAGGCCTGAACTTTTCAAAACAGGGGTTTAAGAACTGGCTTTTTAGTAATTCTAATTTTCTATATGCAATCTGTTTTAAGATTTTTTTGAAAAAATGCATAGTATATTTTTTGAGAGTCTTCCAAAATAGTTCACTTTTTATTGAAATTCAGAGAGGTAGTTAAGGTATTTTATGAACTTAGGAGCGCCTACTTCGAGTCTCTCTTTGTTTATGTCCGAGGAATACGGTAATATCTCTCGCCAACTGCTGAGGAGAACGCTGGCTTAATTTTAAACTAGGATTTTTTTAACTGACTTATCCTGGAAGTTCTGAGACTGTTTTGGCGTTATTTTGCTCGCCATACTTGTGGTTACGTAGAGTTGTTGAATTTTGCTAGAATCTGATGTTTTTGCTGAGTTACTTGGTAGAACACGAGTCAGAAGGTAATAGTTCTTTCCTTAATTTGTAAGTCTTTTTGTACATCACAAAAAAAAGCAGAAGATTTAGCACTCAGCACGTAGCCACAACTGCGGCAAGCACAACGATTACAATCTCTGTACAAATACTTGATCTAGATCAAATATCAAGCGAAAAAAATTACTCGATTATGCAAAGAAGCAACCTATCTGCATTTACAAATAATAAGTTTTCAAAAAAACTAGTGTGCTTACTGTACCAAAATATTTCACTTTCGTTAAGAACTCGCTCCAGGGAGTCTGTATGTAAAACCAAAAAAAATTTTCCGTCGTCAACAAACTCAATTTTTAGAAACATAACAAAACTAGTAATTATGGAAATTAGCTCTCACGTCATATTTCAGCGAATGTCTCGACAATGGCTACAAAGATCAACTTAGGACAGGAAGAAACAGGTAGGTATAATTCTGGGGAAATCAAAAAATCCGCAGTTTTCTAAAAATAAATTAGGTAAATACTGCTCAATCGAACTGAAGTTAGCATTTTTTTGTTAGCCAGTCCCATCGTTGAAGTTTTGGTTTTGCAGCTAAAGGGTTTTCACAACAAATTAGAAATGACGCCGCCTGTAATTGTGGAATTGTAGCAAATTAGTCGCGCGGAATCTCAAAAGCGTAGTTTGACACTGAAGAAAGCTAGTTTTGGCGTATGCATGGTTGATTGCAGTAGTACCGAAAAAAACTGATGCTTTGGACAATTCTGAACTTTGTAGATGGACACTCAGAAACTGGGAATTTAGTATAGAGAAATGTGGAAGTGCAAGTAGCGTTTGCCAAGCTATCTAATCTACATTGGAGATGGGTAGATTAAGTGTATGGGGAAGCTCCGAGAACCAGTTTGGGTTTTGTGCAGAAGGAAAAAAAGGCTGTTGTATTTTTGCAGAAAATTGTTGTCGATTTTAAGAGCAGACTCAAAAATGCATTAGAAATAATGTTTAAAGAGAGAAAAAAAAATGAAACATTGTTTCAGAGTAGACCATCTTAAATTTAATTTTGTAATAAATGATATTCAAAAAACGAGGTTCCTGAATTCGTTTTCTGTAGATCTGTTTTTGTGAAGTCGTACCGTTTTTGTTAAACCACTCAAATTTTTTTTGCGTGAGACTTACAATGGTTCCTGGAGTTTTTTGTGCGCTTACGGTTGCAGTGGTAATTGTCTATATAACTCGGTTTCGTTATTTTATGAAACGTGTCATTTGGCGGTTTTTGACTAAAACTACGAATTTATGGTTTTTTTTTAATGGGGTGTGGGAGGGGAGTGGCTGGGAGAATGGACATAATTCTTTAGTTCTCTCTGGGGTTTTTTTTTTAGTATATTACTCTATTCTTTGGGTAGTCCAAAAATTGTACTCTCCTTTATCGGTCTTTGTTTCAGCGGATGACGTTTACTGTTTATTAAAATGTTTATACTTAGTGGTGTGTTCGTCGCCCTGCAGTTCTTGTTTCTAAGAAGTTACGATTGTGCTTACATTCTCGAGGAAACTTACTTTGCCCAACTAAAAAGTATGGTTCTTAAAGTTATAAGTCAAGCCTGAGGCAGGTCCCCCGGTCAATATACAGTGGCATAAATATAGCCATATCTGATTGGAACCAGTAATGGCAGTACAAGCAATATATCACTGACACTGAATGTATAGCAAATTCTCTTCTTTACTAATGGCAATCAATCAATAATGTTAAATGAAACTGTCGTCGTTTCTTGAAGTTTTAGGCAGCAATAGGTGATAAATTTGCAGCATTTTTTAGAGAATTTTGACACTGGAAAGGATGCAATTTAAGAATAAAAAACGTTCAGCTCAACAGCCTAATAAACAGAAGACGGAAAGTTTGTATGATATTTTGAAGAGGTTTGAAGTAATTGGTGTAAGGTGAAGTATTTTGTAAGCTGTTCATTGTGGAATAATGTATTCCGAAGGCGAGGACGTTCTTGTTTTACATTCGTGGCGGTGGGGAAAAGGTTCGTTAGTTTTCGTTTATATGAAGGCATCTCCAAATATTGGACTGCCTTATGACCACCCGTTTAACTCTTCTTAAAAGTTAAGTAGTCTTCACCAGAAGCAGGGTATTGGCTATTGTGGGTATCTGACGCTAAATTGTTCCCATACTCATTGTTCTCAGCTGATAAGACAGGAGCAGCTTTTTAACCCTTAAAAAGGTGCTTTTTGTTGCTATAGCTATTATCTATCTTTTTTCGATTGTGACTGTGACTTCAGGGTAACTCTAGCTTTCCTTCGTCTTGGGCACCTGAAAGGCAACTTTGATTTGCTGTGAAAATGGGTATTGCATTTATGCACTGTCAAAAAACAGTGTGTCGTAAGATTCAGATTCTGCTTTTTCGACAGTTGCTTGGACTACGTTTTTTAATTCCTTGAGTATGAATCAGTTTTCAGCAGTGTTAAGTTTTTTGCCCGAAATTCTTGGTTATACTTCTACCGCACAGTTTGCTCATAGATTTTGGGGGAGCGTGGTCAAATTCACCAGTGTTAGGAGTTTTGAACGTGGCAGCTCTTCTTCCAAATGGAAATTGAACGTTAAATTGGAAAACTAATGAGGAGGCGTTTATTGCGCTGTTAGTGATTGGTAATGAAGAGGCAGTTTTTGCATTTAAAGAGACTTTGTTCATTTTAAAATTTGATTAGAAGGCTGGAAGGATTGCTCCAGTGCCTCGTTCGGCTGTTGTGTTCTTTTTGTAGGATTTTTTGGTTTGTGCGATGGAGAAATGGCTTTTGCGTAGTGGGGAGTTCACGTAGCATATCTAGTAACCTCGATTAATGTTTGCTCACAGCCTGCCGGGGTACCTTCGACAGTTCTGTTTTTAAATGTTTTAATTGATCGGGTTTCATATTTCTACTATTGGATTTTTAGAATTTTTATTGCTGCATATATTTTTTCTTCAGACTTGGGGATTTACAGCATGGCTGCTGTAGAACAATTGTTGGAGCTCCTAATTGTACTCTCGGCTTTGTGGGTCATTTGTAATTCCCATTTTCACTCGGTCTTCTTTTATAGTTAGATGTTCCACTGTTAGAGGCCCGAGCTTCTGCATTGGTCAGCGCATGTTGGACATTATCATTCCCGTTTATATTGGCTTGTGGGGACAGTATTAGCGCTCTTGAAGCAATTCTGAAGGTACCATTTTTTTGTTTCTCAAATTTCTTTGTTGTTTAGTAGTTTTGTTACATTATGCAGCAACGAGAGTTGGAGTAGAGAATAATTTTTTTCACTGGTTATTAAATTTTTTAGGAAATGGATACTCATGTCGATAGCTTACGTGATATAGTCGCTAATGCTGAGCAAAATTTTTTGGAGAGTCGCACTGATTTGGCGTCCACTACCGTCCCTATGGCAACATTTATTGAAGAGACTGCGTTGGTGGAAGTGGCACGCAACAAAACGGAGACTTTGACAAGTCCACAAACTGACGAAGCACCTGCAGATCCCAGTGCTAGCTAGCTGTAATTGCAGGTTTTTAATGGGTAACAAAGTTCTATCTGTAAAAATTTAGTCTGTGTATTTTTTTAGTGGAGCAGTACTGATCATGTTTTAACTGTGTAGTGTACATGCAAAGTATCACTTTTTGCTGCCAAAGACATGGTTATTTGTGATCAAGCAAAAATTGCATATCTGATAAGCGATTTCAATTATAAAGCATTCTACTTATCAAAACTGCGGCACATTTCGAAGACGTTTTTTCTTGGTTCTTGCTATTTTTTCTGTACTTTTTCTCATTTTCTTTTAATTTTAGACTTTATGTCTTCCTTGTTCTCGCATAACACTGAGATGACCTTAGAAGCAGTAAGAAATAACAAAATTTGGCTCAGCTTCAGTCACTTGGGTCTGGAAAGGTTAATTTACCAGTTTCACACTTTCGCGAAAGGTTCTTTGTTTTTCAGCGATTGTAATTTAAGCTTGTTGTTGTAAATTGTTGCCATTGTTCTTTTTATGTTTAAACTTGTGAATAGAATAGCGGTCTTAGACTCACCACTGATGTTGATCCTTTTCTTTCTCTGTTCTTAATGTTTTTAAAATTATGCTGCTTTTGATTCGCGATTACAAGGATTGCTCTTAGTTTTGCTGATGCAGTGTTCATTTTTCACAGCTGGTGACGTGTTTCTTTTGAGATTTTTCCAAGTTTTTCGACATCTTTTTTAAATTGGCTTTGCTTTATGTAATTTTCTTTATGAGTCTTTTGAGAAGTTCCTGAAGCGGGTATTAGGTTTGGTAGTGAGTACTTGTGGCTTATTTCTATTGTGTTGTTTAGATAAGCAAAATCCAAACGAATCTAACAGTTTAGGTTGGCTACCTCATAATCACCATTCCGTCCTCTACGCACTGGTCGTTATCATACAGGAAGTGTTGCTTTAAACTTTTGTTTGCGGTGCATCTAAGTTCTGCTATGTGTGCACTACATTTATAAATTTGCTTCGACTTGGATTTTAAGAGAAGTAAATGGCTTGTTTTTTGAGGAATGTAATAATTGCGGGAAAAAGGGCAAGGGGTTTCCCGGTATATGACAAACTCCATGGTGTTGTTGTTTGATCTCTAAAGGTACATGGCCTTCATCACGTATCTTCCAAGTGGTTTCGGATTCTTGTTGACTGTATTTCTTTAGGTGATGTTAGATATTAACGTTTTTTTGGTGTCTTAATGGTTATTTACCCTTTTTAATACTTCAAAACATTTAAAGCAACGTTGTTTCATCAGTAAGTTTATCACATCTTTACCGTTAAATTGTTTCTTTAAAACTGTAAAATACTTCTTTTCACACTAATTGTTATCTGGTTGCTGTCTATGGCATGGTCTTCCATTTGTGTCATTTCACAGATACTCTCGTTTTCAGCTGTTTTTGCAGTTGTCTTTTTTAAGGTTTTAAGTCATTGGAACGATCTGTTGATATCTGCCAGGGCGTTTTCTACAATTTCGTTATTTTTTTCAAAAAAAATTTTTTGGTGACTGATTTGCTGAGTAGTTTAGCGTGCATTTGAATCTAGTTATTCTTCAGCATCAGTTACTGTTCGTGATTTATTTCGTACTGCCGTTATGAGCTGAGTGTTTGACACTATTTCAGCATGCTTTTCACCGATGATGGAAGCATTACGAAGCCTGCACATTACCACTTGTTAATATTTTTTATGGCAGGCGTTTCTTGTTTGTCTGTAATATATTAATATTTTGTTTATGTCTTTATTAAGATCTGCAGTATAAAAGTTATATTACCCGTTATACGTGTGCTAATCGTATGTCATTGCATTTGCATGCGCATGTACAGCAGCGGCTATAACTTTAGCATCTTTGTAGGGACAAATTTTTGATTTAGTTCTCCGCAGAAAGTAGCTTTCCAGCTCTTCTTCTCAACGCTTTTTGCAAGGTTTATAATTATAGGCGTCGTCATTTCTAATTTCCATTTCGTGGCAGGACCAGAGTTA